TTTCACAATGTGCCAATACTCCTCGAAAATGGATCTTGTTTACTCTTTCAGTTCCTCACACTAGGGAAACAATATATGTCCGGTTTATTTACAAATGTATGTACAGTTTATTTCACTTATGAATATGGTCTTTAGTTGCATCCATTTACCTATAAAGCCCTTGAGTTTATCTTTCTTTGTAGCTGAGCAGTACTCCATTGTATAAAAAGACCACATCTTTTTATCGCTTCTTCTGTAGTTGGGCATTTGGGTTCTTCCCAAATCTAGCTATTATAAGTTGTGCTACTATAAACATGGGTGAAATTAAAAGAGAAGCATTTCTCCCTAACTCATTTCTGGAGGCAAGTATTACCATGATACACGAACCAGAGCAAGACCCAAATAAAAAAGAGAATTACAGGCCAATCTCCTTAGTGAACATAGAAGCAAACATCCTTGATAAAATACTAGCAAACAATGCAGGAAGTCATGAAGAAGATTGTACACCATGACCAAATGGGATTCATCCCAGCAGTGCAGGGATCCTTTACCATATGGAAATCAATATATTTAATACACTATATCAACAGAGCCAAAGACAATAACTACATGATCTCAATAGATACAGAAAAAGATTTTGACAAAGTCCAACACTCATTCATGGTAAAAACGCTACAGAAAATTGGACTAGAAGGTCTTTACCTCAATCTGATAAAAGTCATCTATGATAAACGAAATCCAACATCATAATAAATGGGAAAAACCCTGAAAGTTTTCATTTTAAAATCAAGAACAACGGGGGATCAGAGTTTGATCCCTGGCATCTGGTGCTGGCGCTGTCCCTGGGGAGGTGCTGAGATGGCAAAAACAGGAGGATCATTATGAGTACGATCTGTGTAGTGAGACCCTGTAGGCCCTGTACTAAATACATTAAAAAAATCTAAATAAAATTAAGAACAAGACAAGGATGTCCATTATTACCACTGCTTTTCAATATAGTTCTGGAAACATTACCCAGAACAATTAGGTAAGAGAGAGAAATAAAAGGAATAAGAATAGGGAAGGAAGAAGTTATATTATTATTTGTAGATGACATGATACTCTATGTAGAAGACCCAAAAACTCCACTGAAAGATTCCTGGAATTAATAAGCAACTTCAGTAGCATAGCTAGATACAACATCAACATTCAAAAATCAAGAACATTCCTGTACACAAACAACAAAATAGTTGAGAGAAAAATTAGGGAAACCACACACTTCCCAATAGCATCCAAAAAATGAAATACTTAAGAATCAATCTAACAAAGGAAGTAAAAGATCTAGACATTGAAATTTATGGTATTCTGAAAAAAGAGATTGAAGAGGATTTCAGAAAATGCAAAGATAGTCTTTGCTCATGGATAGGAAACACACACACTTTAATTTGTTGAGTTGCTTATGAACTCTTATTGCAGCATAGTATTGGAAAGCAGATATCTTTTGCTACATCTTCTCCTTCCCTAATTGTTAGGGAGTTCAATTTCATTCTCTTTGCTGTGTACTGAAGTCTGGCATAATTAAGGCTAGGGCAAGTGAGATTCTTTAGATAATAAAAGTGCCCATGTTGTAAATAATAATGTCATCGTCTCTTTCATAGAAAGTACTTTCATTAAGAGCATTTTAAATTAGATGTGTATGAATTCATTTGAATAGTCCTAGTGCAGGGGACAATTCATGATTTTTTAAAAAAAATTTCCATCAACTTGTCAGGTGTTTCAATTAGGTAGTTCGGAACCTCCCTACCTACCTAGAAGCCCTAACAGAAGTACTCTCATCCTCTATTCCAAACAAGGTCATGTTTTATATAATCACATACTTACTAGATGATTGGGACTAACTTAGTAGTATGCAAAACTGAATTTTTACCTTTGCAGATAAAACCAATTGCAATGATTCCATCTTCTTCTATGTATTTTTCAAGCCTTGGGAAACAGGATGGGGTAATATTCTAAGGACCAGCAGTACCCATGGCAGGCAGGAGAAGGAAGGGAATTTGCTGTGGTAAAAGCTCACGGAGGATAGGGAACTTACAGTTTAGCATCGCCAGCAAATAAGCCTACAGGGTGGATCCCAGCTGCTTCTTTCTCAGGCATAGTCCCTGCACTTCTCTTGTCACAAACAGGGGGCAGTCTCTGTTAATTAAAGCCAGAGTGAGTCTCCTGTGAGGACCAGAGTCAAATGTCCTGTTAACAGGGATCATTTTAGAATTTAAAGGCAGATTTTGAAATTTTGTTTCCTTTCTCCAAGGTATTTTGAAAAAAATCCAACTTGGATGTGCCTTAAGATCCCCATCCCACCCCCACCAGCTCTGGCAAAAAGAGGTCTGTGAGCTGTTCTTCCACTGGACCCTGGTCTTGTGGGGAAGTATTATGGCATGCTGAGCAGGGGTGGCAGCATCAGCAGCTGGGCAGTCTGCAGTCAGCCCTGGCTTTACCAAGCGCTGGATAAAACCCTTACACTGTCTGAGCCCCAGCTTCCTGAGCCCTTGGAAGCCTGCTGCAAGATCCCTTTTCACACCTGATTTTGCAGTATGTAGACGTCTCCCAGCCCCCTGTGTGTGTACCACATGTTCATTTCCTCTTTTAGCTGAAGACAGGCTTTTATAAAAGAAATTAGTTAATTAACTATGAGAGCCTGTCTCTTCATGAGCACATGCTGTGTCCAGCACTGTGTAGGTCTTGGGGGATGTGAGTGGTCAAGACCCGTTCCATCATGAGGGTACAAAGAGACAGACAAAATCCATAAACACACAATGTCAGATGGATAAAGAATGTGGAGGAAGAGACTGCATGAAGTGGGCAGAATACAGGCTTCAAAGTCTCCTTTCTTGGGTTATATAGATGGCTGACACTCTTGGAGCCATTCAAGGCAACTAGTTTAATTGCTCTGAGACTCAGTCTCTCTCCTTGTGCTGCAAGGACTGCTAATATTTATTACCTAACATGTAGAGAGTTAAAGGAGATCAGTCATTCCGTGGCTCAAGCATTTCCAGACTGTCTGCTGTGCACAAGGCGCTGCTCTAAGCAGCCATGAGGAGGTGATTTTAGAAAAAGCAAGCTTGGTTGATATGTTGCAAGCCCTGAATAAATGTTAGCTATCATTAGCTCTCACACGCCAATGCTTGTGTTTGTAGGATGCGCAAGGTGGTGGTAGGCGTGGGTTGCCAGTCATGACAGACACACCATACTGGCCTATTTTGGGGATCTTATTATAATGAATGTGGTGAATTTGGGCTAAACAATCTCACACCTTCTCCAGGTGAGGATGGGATAGAATACTTTCCACAACATAGCGAGTCTTCTAAGGGTTGGTTTACTCCTTCATACACTCTATCAAGGTCGCCTTGAAGTGTGTTTGCAAATCTTTATTTCAAACATGAGAAAGTGAAATTTTTTTTTTTTTCGTATACAAGGGTCCACTAGCCAAACTCCTTTTCATTTGGAGAAATCTTGCAATGGAGCTGACTAAATCTTCCCACGCATTTTCAATTAAGGGGTTCCTAGCATTGCATTTTGCGTGTGGCCCAACTTCTTCTTTGAAAATGTCCCGAGAAGCCCTTGGTTGCAGCGAAATCGAGAGGAAGGTGGTGAAAACATTTCCCTGTAAATATTCTAGCCCACTGGAAAGTGTAGATTCCATTAATGCAATTAAAACACAAAACGCCCGAGCGTGTGGAGAGCTAAATTCGGTGTAGCAGATTTCGTACAAATTCTGTTTGGGGGACTGAAGTCAAATTCAAGCCGAGGAGAGGAAGAAGTGGGAGAAACGGGTGAGGGCTGACGAATGGCTTAAAGCTGCTAGGACAGAGGGGGCAGAATTTTGAAAAGGCAGAGATGTGAGGCTGGGCTCTGAGGAAGAAAAGCGGAGATGTGCAGCTCCTAGTGAGGATGTCTGGGGGGCTCCCTGGGGATCAGGGCCAGGCAGCTCGGGACCGATGCGCAGGCTCGGGGAAGGCAGGGTGGTGGAGAGTGGGCGCCCAGGCCTTGCGCTGCGCCCGAATGGGGCGCACAGAGGCGGTGGCGCGGTGTGCCCTCCTGTGGAGCGCAGAGAACGCTGCGGGGGCGAAAAGGGACTGAAGAATGCAAGTCTGAGGGGCTGGAGTTTATTCAGGACTCGCCATTGTCCTGGCCTTATCCGCTGGCCTCCTAACCCCAGAGCTCTTTTGAGGAGCTCATCCCAATCCCATCTCCTGGGGTGCTTACCCGAGGCCCAGGGATGCTACCCCACGTTTCCAGCTCAGCCTATGTCTTCGCCTTCGCCCAGGGGCTCGAGCCATCCAGGTTGCACGCCGGGCTGAACGATTAAGCCCCGGGAAAGGCAAGGTGGCCCCGCACGCCTGGAAAAGCTGCCCTGACCAGACAGCGCCTAGCCGGTCTAGGAGTGAAATCCATCTAGTCTGTCCCCATTCTTCCAAGTCACCCCTTTCCTACTGGACAGGTTCCAGCCGCAGCTCCTGCGCACGCACCCCTGCAAAAGCCAAGGGCGGAGCCGCCTCTGCGCCCAGGGCACGTCTGAGTCTCACCTCCCGCCCCGAGAGGGCGCGGGAGGTCCCGACGCGGTCCTCCACCTGCCGGGAAATCCGAGCAGTTCTTTCAGGCTCCGCGGTAGCCGAACTCGCTCCTCCCCTCCCGCCAGCCCGGCTTGGCTCCGCGCGCCCCCCAACTCGCTTCCTCCCGCCCTAGTCACCTCGCTCCGCGCCCCCGCCCCTCTCGAGCTCGCGCCCCCCCCAATCCTCTTCTCCTCTGCCCGCCCTCCTCCCCCTCCCCCATCTCTCCTGCCCTCCCTTCATTCCACAAGTGTCGCTTTGCTTTCTCCAGCGCACTTGGCGAGCTGGAGAGGCGAGAGGATCCTGCAAGCGGACGCGGGGCGGCTAGTCCCGAGCCGCAGGCGGAGGGGAGGTGCGCACAGAACGACTCTCCCCTGCTTTCCGCCCCCGCCTCCCCCAGTGGCCGGCCGGACCTGCACCCTGCGCTTGCCCCCGCTCCTCCTCCCCCCACCCGGCCTGGCGCGCTCCTCCCCGGCCGGCCCCTCGCGGCGGGGCGCGCTGGAGGCGAACGCAGGCTGAGCCGAGCGCAGTGGCCGCCGACCACCGAGCGCCCCGCGCCGCTCCCTGCATGTGCAGCCCGCGGCGGCTCGCAGCCCCCGGCAGCAGCCTCGGCAGCTTCGGCCGCGCCTCGAGAGGCGGCTGCAGCAGCGCCAGCAGCGGCCGAGCGGTCGAGCCTGGGCTGGGAGACAGGATGCGCCGCGTCCTTCGGCTGCTCCTTGGCTGCTTTCTCACCGAGCTGTGCGCCCGCGTGTGCCGGGCGCAGGAGCGAACCGGGCACGGGCAACTGGCGCAACTGGGCGGCGTGTTGGTGCTTACGGGGGTTAATCGCTCCGGGGCCGCCTCTGGAGAGGTCGGTGAGGGCGCCGGGGTCTCGGACGCGCCCCCGACTCGGGCGCCCACGCCGGACTTCTGTCGGGGCTACTTCGATGTTATGGGCCAGTGGGACCCGCCGTTCAACTGCAGCTCGGGCGACTTCATCTTCTGCTGCGGGACTTGTGGCTTCCGGTTCTGCTGCACATTTAAGAAGAGGCGACTGAACCAAAGCACCTGCACCAACTACGACACGCCGCTCTGGCTCAACACCGGCAAGCCCCCCGCGCGCAAGGACGACCCCCTGCACGACCCCACCAAGGACAAGACCAACCTGATTGTCTACATCATCTGCGGGGTGGTGGCTGTCATGGTGCTCGTGGGTATCTTCACCAAGCTGGGGTTGGAGAAAGCACACCGGCCCCAAAGGGAGCACATGTCCAGGTGGGCTGCCTCCCCTCGCCCTCCCCTCTGGCTTCACTTTCCCTTCTCTGCATCCTCAGCTGGACCCAGCTGTCCCTGTCCCCTCACCCCCCACCCCCGACTCTTCGCAGCGGGATGTCACCCAGAAAGCCAACTTTGGTTTCGCGTGTGGAGAAGGGGCCCCGGGCACGGCACAGGTGGGGGTCCCGGTGGTGTGGAGAGGGTCTCTGAACCTCCGCCCTCTTGCCGCCCCTGCCGCCAGTGACTGAGCCGGACTTGAGGCACGGAGGAGTGGATCCCCCGTTTTTGGAGTCTTGGGTTTTGAAGAGGGAGTCATAGCATCCCTCGGATTCCAGATGCTACCCTTTAGGTAAACAGAGGCAGGCGAACCCAACCGGGAAGGGGGCGTGTGTGAGCCCGCAAGCGCGTGTGTGAGAGGGGAGGGAGCGAGGGAAGGAGTGAGTGCCGTACGACTAGCAAGAGGCGAAGGAGGGGCCGAGGGAAGCAAGGCGAGAACACACCCTTGTTCCCATCGACCGCTCCAGCTCCAGCGTGGAGGTCTCTAGGTTTGGGACTTAAGCGTCCTCTGTTCTTTTATCCCCTTAGTCCCTTTCTCCTGCCACCACCTCTCCCCGCCCGAGGCAGCGGCCATCACTGAGCTCTGTCCCTTTACCCAGCTGGCGCTAAGGTCCCTGAAGCCCTATTACGCGCGACTTCACTGCCTAAGTACACAGATATCTCAACTTTCCCGTTTGCTATATTCATTATGCAAGTCCCAGCACGGGCAAGTCGCTGCAGATGGAAGAAGGCATTTGAGGGTTAATGGAGCTATCTGCCTTTTTCTTTTTTCTTTCTTCAAAAGTCTTTAAATTGAGTCGCACAAGTCAGTAACTTTGGAGGTGCAGCCCTGAGCACACAACTAGGCCGGGGAAAGGGGCAGCGAAGTAGCCAGGGCTTAGTGCGAAGTCTGGATGGACGGGATTCAAGGAGCGGCCCGAGTAGCTAGGTGGCTGGGGCTAAGCCTTAACTGTCTCTTTCCGAGGCTGGGCAGAGAAGTCGCTGTGTCCTCATCTCTTCCCCCACACACCTCCGCTGGGGGCCTGTGTGTGTGCGTGTGCGCGCGTGTGAATGCATGTGCTCCGTGTGCATGCCTAAAAGATCTGAACAAAGAGACCCACCAAAAATAGTCAAAGGAACATCACCACCTCACTAGTAATTATTTTCTATTTATACCCATAGTATCCGATGATTTTTTTTTTTCTCCCAGAGGGAAGGATTTGTAGGGAAGAGGTGAGGAAGGTTTTGTGGGTGGTGGTGAGGTCCCGAGGTACAGAAGTACGTTCTAAGGGCTCAAAAAACCTTGACCTACTAAAGGGGTAAGGCGCTTGCCCCGCCCACCTCCTACAACCCTAGCGCCCTGTTCCCAACCCTACCATGAAGCAGGATCACATCTCGATCCTGAGTTCAGTCCCCAGTGACACCGGGGTCTGCATTCAGGTGGAGGTGAGCAATGATGCGGGACTGCGGCAGCCAGGTTGCTCTGTGGGGAGACGGTTCTCAGAGCCAGGTAGGATGCCTTGCAGTGTTGCCTTAACTCCCTCAGACATCGCCACCTGGAAGGCTCCTTGATCTGCGCAGAGGTGGTGTGGTGGGGAAAGGACCTCCGTGGGACACTGGGAGAAACCCGGACAGGGTTCAAGGCCACTTTAATCTAGGTGTCCTGGAGAGACAGCTCTCCACTCACATTTCAGGGAGAGGGAGGGCCCGACTTCCTAGTTCTGTCCTTGGCAGGCTGTTGGGGAGAAAGATGACTCCAGCTAACCGGTTCTGCATGTACCAGGGAAAGTCTCCTTGGAAGCACCCTCTCACCTAGGGGTACCCAGTTCTGGGCAGAGCAGCTCCTCAGCAATGCTCTACATGTATAAATTCCAGAGTGGAGTGGAAATGCATACACCTGAAAAGAGAAAAAGGTTGATTTTTTTTTTTTCCTCCTAGAAGCTTCTAAGTGATGATTTTCAACTCGGCTGCTGTTTGGGGTCACCTCTAATGCTTAGAGGGCCTCCACTCTTGACTGCTTAAATCAGAATTTACCATCTGTAGTTTGAAAGCTCTCCAGGTGATTCTAATGTTCAACCAGCCAGTACTAAGGAAAAAGAACTCACTAACACCTGCTGAGCATAGAGTTGGGTGCCAGGCACTGTACCAGAGGGGAGTGTGTGTGTGTGAAATGCTCATTCTCACAACTACCCTATGAGACAGGTGCTATTTTAATTATCATTTCTGTATGAGAAAATCATGGTACAGGTCGGGTGGTTTGCCCAAAGTCACATAGAAAATTGTGCAGTCTCTAGTTCCCTGGTTTCCCTTTGTACCTGGGGGAAATGTTTTCAGAGCCAACCCCACAATCTGGGGGAGCTTCCTCAGACACAGGTTCTTGAGTTTTATCCACAGAGATTCTGAATCACTAGGTTTGGAGGGGGCTCCAGAAATCAACTTTTCACAACCCCCTTGGGTTACTTTCAGATAAAGTGATCTACACTTTGGGGAGACACTGGGCTTGGATTTGGGATGATTTCACAGTCAAGAGATCACTTAATACTAGAGAAAGGAGAAAGGCCAATGTGACTCTTACTCACATTCTGGTGCTTGCTTGTTTTCTCCTTGGATATAACCTTTCTGTGACTCTTGGGCTTCCCCAGTTTCCCTGCATCATGCATCATGCCCTGCTTTTGAAGCTCATCTTTTGGAGTCCCAGAGTGGCAGTTGGCTCACAGCTTTTGCCTGATGGTGCTAAGGGATGCTCTGATGGAGGGTGGCCCACCCAGCCTGGCATCGGAGAGGCTGCTGTGGGGCACGGCATCTCCAGAGAAAATTAACCTGCTGGCCCCGGGCCTTTAATTTTTGTCTGGAGCTGTGGCATATGTTAAAAGGGAGTTTGTTCTCTTCTACCTAAAAACACCATCTCTTCAAGGATGTGGGCTATGTGTGCTCCCCCTACGCAATTTACCTTGCTGCCCAGTAAATCTGTGTTTTCCAGAAGAGGCATCTAGTGTGTGAGTGTACAGGCACAGAGGCCGGGGTATATGGTCTTCTTCCTTCTGAGATGATGAGAACTGAGAAAAGGAGGATGCTATTCCTGAAGGTGGGGGCTTACATGCAGTCTTGTAACAACTGCACAGATGTCCAGCCAGCAGCTGTGACAGTACTCATAGGCAACCACTGTTCACTGGGAGAAGTGACTGAAAAGGCTATTAAAGTATGATGGTATATTTTATTGGGTCGGCAAGGTACTACTATTTGAGTATTTTTTTCTGTAATTTTTTATTGTGAAAAATTTAAAACATACAAAAAGCTTAAAAGATGATAAAAAAATTCAAATACATCCTTCATGTAAGTCAAGGCCTTTTAAATTTGGCACTTTTGACATCTGGGGCTTGGTAGTCTTCTGTTTCAAGGGACTATCTTACACATCAGGGGATGTTTAACAGCATCCCTGGCCTCTACCCAGTAGATGCCAGCAGTATGCACCCTGTACTCTGTATCTCACATGTGATAGTAAAAATGTTCCCAGATATTGCCAGACAGAACAGAGGGGCAAAATTATCCCCACTTGGAAACTGATAATCTCATTTTTGTGGTGTTACTTGAGTTTAGCCCAGGGGTGCCTTATTATTGAGCTATATATGCAACTCTTTCATATTTTATTTTGCTATGGAGTCTTGCCAAGTTGTCCAGGCTGGCTACAAACTTGCCAAGCCTCCTGCCTCAGCCTCTTGGGTCCCTAGGCTTACAGGTGTATGCCACTATTTCTGGCTTAACTAACCTCAGTTCCACAACTATTGGTATTCTGTCATTGTCATTTTTTTATTGCTTTCATGCTCTCCGTATGTATTTTTTCTTTTGTTTTTCTTTCTGTCTCTGTCCCAACTCTTTTCCCTTATTTTTCCTTTTGGCTGAAACATTTGAAAATGAATCACAGATATGACACTTGGTACCTTAACACTTAAGCATGGCTGTCCTAAGAATGAGAACATTTTACCATCCACTCCCATGACCATATCCAAGAAAGAATACTATACTATTGAAAGAATACATACTATTGTCGAATATGCAACATGTCTGATTTTCCAGTCATTCTAGAAATATATTTTAGTGTTTGAGTTTTCAAATCAGGATCCAGGGGCCAGGAAGATTGTTCAGTAGAATAAGCGCTTGCCTGGCAAGTGCAAGGGCCTGAGTTCAATCCCCAGTTCTGGAAAAAAAAAAGAAAAGAAAAAAATCAAATCAGGATTCAATCAAGACGTATTGCATTTAACTGTAAAATCTCTTCAGTCTCTAAGATGCATGGTGTTTTAAAACCAATTTAGAATTGGTTGCCAGTGTTTATTTATTTATTTCTTTTTTGCCAATTTTAAAACTTGGGAGATTTCAAACAGAAACCCTAGTTTCTGATCTCTTTTAAGAATTTGGCAGGTGTAGTGACATTGTATCTGCATTTTCACAGGGCAGTTGTTGGTGTGGCAAAAGGGTAACTTTCCCTTTTGGAAGCTCTTGAGTTGTCTCTATCACTCACACCCACCTGTTCACTTAGTTGTCACCTACAGATCCTGGAGAGTTGGTCAGGCTGTCTGAATGGTGTGGGCTTCTCTTATACTCCCTGAGGTTTAGTTCTAGTTCAGTTGTTTAATAGCTGTTTGACCCTGGAAAGGTTGCTTCACCTCTCCCAGACTAAACTTACTGTAGGTTGGCCATTCACTGAGGATCAGTTGGGGAAAACACTTACCATGAGAACTGTCATGTGGTCCTTGCTCAGAGCTACCTTTCTTGTAATTTTAGTGAAATTTTCTAGTTCTAGTCTTCTGAGGAGAGTGATGTTGTAGTCTTATTCTTGGTGCTCAGTGCTGTGACACTGGCCAAGGCTCTTACCCTTTCTGGACTGACTTTTGAATCTGAGTAGGAGAGGTTGGCAGGTTCAAAATAGGAAGAAAGGCTGGTGCATGACTAGATGAAATGCATTGCAC